CAACAAGAACGAGCAAAAAGTCAAGAATTAGAGAAAAATTATAAAAGTTAAATTCAAATAAATTCTAATTTTAATAAATTAATAATAGTTTTACATCTAAAAATAATATTTTATTCTATTTTCCTCATTCAGCAACCTATTAAATTTCTGTTACGTTTCATGTAGGAGAAATACACATTTTTTTCAGTCAGTATTTAATACAGCTGGCAAAATAAATTGTTAAAATATGTATTATGTGCTTCTGTTTTTTTTTTCAGGAGATTATAAAAAAATCCTTCATTTTATGGGAAGACCCTCTTGATTTAAGAGAAAACTCTGTTTTTTTTTAAAAATGGCTGCTTATTAATTAATTTTTAATCAATCTATAAGATAAATCAACTTCAGATTAATTCATTATCAATAACTTGCATCCTTAAAGAGTGAACTTAATTTATATCTACTCATATTCATGTAATTAAGTGTTTTAATGATTTGGCTGATTAATCGATTAATTGAAAAAATAATCAACAGATTAATCGATTATTAAAATAATCGTTAGTTGCAGCCCTACAGCCAAAGGTTCTCAGAAATGATCAAAAGTAGAAAAAATTAAGACTTGACAAAATKAAATTTAAGACCTTGGATGAAAATCTGAGTGTTTATAAGACTGTTTTAGGCCTAAAATTTTGATTTTAAAATTTTAGACATTTTTAAGACCTGACATGAACCCTGTGACTGAACTTCTTTGGTTTTTGGGCAGGTGAACAAGCTGCCGTATGCGGGGGCTTGTACTGGCAAAGAGTTTGAAAACATAAAAGTAAACTGGGACATTTTTGCCAACAGTTATCACGAGATTTGTAGTTTAATCACGTACCAAGATCAGTAGAAAACTTACTTCATGAAGACAGATCACATCAACCTGTGATTACTGCACTCTACCCTGTTTATTATTCAGCCAACGCTTCCCGGGAGTGATCAAAAGTAAAAAAATAAAGACTTGACAAAATTAAATTTAAGACCTTGGATGAAAATCTGGCTGTTTTTAAGACTGTTTTTAGGCCTAAAATTTTGATTTTCAAATTTTAGACTTTTTAAGACCCTGCGTGAACCCTGGTTGACAGACCATACACATTCCTTTATCAACCATCAGAACATTAAACAAAGTTGATTAAAAGTCCTCCAACTGAAGAACCCTGATCTGGTTTAATCTTCCACTTCCTGAACATGTCGGTTCTTTTACATCATTTCTGCTACACTTTCATGTTGTGTTTGCTAAAACCAGATAAACGTTAATTATCAAACTAAACTTCTCTAAGTTAAACCCATCATAACTTGTGTTTATTTATTTTACATGACCGTAAAGTTACAGTGGTTTGCAAAAGTATTCATACCCCTTGAACTTTTCCATATTTTGTCACATTACAACCACAAACATAAATATATTTCACTGGAATTTAATGTGAAAGACCAACACAAAGTGGTATACAATTGTGAAGTGGAAGCAAAATTTTACATGAATCAAAACATTTTTTACAAATAAAAAACTGAAAAGTGCGATGTGCAAAATTATTCAGCCCCCCTGAGTCAATACTTTGTGGAGCCACCTTTTGCTGCAATTACAGCTGCAAGTCTTTTAGGGTATGTCTCCACCAGCTTTGCACATCTAGTGACTGCAATTCTTGCCCATTCCTCCTTGCAAAACAGCTCAAGCTCAGTCAGATTGGATGGAGAGCGTTTGTGAACAGCAGTTTTGAGATCTTGCCACAAATTCTCAATTGGGTTTAGGTCTGGACTTTGACTGGGCCATTCTAACACATGAATATTCTTTTTTTAAACCACTCCATTGTAGCTTTGGCTTTATGTTTAGGGTCGTTGTCCTGCTGGAAGGTGAACCTCCGCCCCAGTCTCAAATCTTTTGCTGACTCCAACAGGTTTTCTTCCAAGATTGCCCTGTATTTGGCTCCATCCATCTTCCCATCAACTTTGACCAACTTCCCGGTCCCTGCTGAAGAGAAGCACCCCCAGAGCATGATGCTGCCACCACCATATTTGACAGTGGGGATGGTGTTTTCAGAGTGATGTGCAGTGTTCTTTCTCCGCCACACATAGCGTTTTGCATTGTGGCCAAAAAGTTCAATTTTGGTCTCGTCTGACCAAAGCACCTTCTTCCACATGTTTGCTGTGTCCTCAACATGGCTTCTGGCAAACTGCAAACGGGACTTCTTATGGTTTTATTTTAACAATGGCTTTCTCCTTGCCACWCTTCCATAAAGACCACATTTGTGTAGTGCACGACTAATTGTTGTCCTGTGGACAGTTTCCCCCACCTGAGCTGTGGCTCTCTGCATTTCATCCAGAGTCACCATGGGCCTCTTGGCTGCCTCTCTGATCAGTGATCTCCTTGTTCGGCCTGTAAGTTTAGGTGGTCGGCCTTGTCTTGGCAGGTTTACTGTGGTGCCATACTCTTTCCATTTCCGGATGATGGATTGAACAGTGCTCCGTGAGATGTTCAAAGCTTGGGAAATCTTTTTATAACCTAAGCCTGCTTTAAACTTCTCCAGAACCATATTCCTAACCTGTCTGGTGTGTTCTTTGGACTTCATGATGCTGTTAGCTCCCCAATATTCTCTTAACCAACATCTGAGGCCRTCACGGAGCAGCTGTATTTGTACTGAGATTAGATTACACACAGGTGGACCCTTTTGAGTCATTAGCAGTCATCAGGCAACTTCTGAATGCAATTGGTTGCACTCAGGGAAAAGGGGGCTGAATACTTTTGCACATCGCACTTTTCAGTTTTTTATTTGTAAAAAATGTTTTGATTCATGTAAAATTTTGCTTCCACTTCACAATTGTATACCACTTTGTGTTGGTCTTTCACATTAAATTCCAGTGAAATATATTTATGTTTGTGGTTGTAATGTGACAAAATATGGAAAAGTTCAAGGGGTATGAATACTTTTGCAAACCACTGTAAATCTCTGAACTTTTAAATTGTGAGTAAGAAATTATTTAATGTGTCACCAAAATAAAAAGATAAAAACTAGAGAGTTTCAGTTTTTGTCAGCTTAAACTCCAATGTACAAATGTTTAAGAACAGTTGTATCTGTTGTCTTTGCTCTAAGTCGAGACAGGTTCATGCTGAGGGAAACATGCAGATAGAAGAGGGGTGTGTGTGCAGGTTACATGCAACAAACACACACATCCATGCACATACACAACATACAGACAAACAGACACCACCCAGAGGTGGTGCATGAGAGAGGGGTTATCAAAGAGGCCCAAAGGATGGTGAAGATGAAAGGTGAGAGCAGCCTGGGGTCAAAGACTGAGAGTGGGACAGCATCTCCACACCTGGCTCTGGGGGTGTGTAAGTGTGTGTGTTTCTGTGTGTTTAGGCTGAGAGTGTGTTAGTATGTTTCATGTGATGCAAGCGGCGTGTGTTTGTACTCACACTGAGTGCTCGGGTCAGTGTCGGTGGTCAGTTTGACGTAGTTGCTGGGAAACAGACCCTCCCTCCCGTTCAGCTCTCCTTTCCACCAATCACAGTCGTCCTTGTTGAGCACCGTGATCACCTGACCCTTCTGGAAGGCCAGCTCGTCATCGTTCTGAGCCACGTAGTCATACATGCCGATCACCTGGCATAGTCCTTGATGACAGGAAACAAAGAAGACCCCTGATCAACACCTGTCCATTTAAAACAACCGTAGTGTCCGGTTGTTCCAGTTTGACAGGAGAAAACTCAGCTGTGGCAGACATCTACAGGTGTACATAGGGATGGGTACCTTTCACATTTGAATCGATTCTGTACCAATATCCAGTACCTGGGAACAGGTACAGGTACTTAACAGTACCAATTTTCGGTACTTCGTGTGTTGTTGTTTTTTAATAGTAAACTTTTACTTTTTATACATATTAAAATTTAACAAATATCAAGACAACATCCAACTCTTTGTATTGTAACATCAGTTGTGTAACTTATATCTTTAAGGTGAAAACTGTTGAAAACAACAGACTGTTTTATCTTATGACACAAATTAAAATCCAGCTCCACGTGTTTCTATTGATGTCATTTCATCACTAGAAACATGTGTGATGGAGGTCCATGGAAAACAAATCAGTTTAAATCAAATAAAAGAGGATGCAGTTAAAATAAATCAAAGGTATTTAAGCTACATTTTGAACATCCAGAACACGTCCAACACTTGTTGGCTGCTTGTGCTCTTTAGGTCAGACGTGTTCAGACTGTAGGGAAGTGCCTCTGTTGTTTTCCTCTGCTGGTCTCTGTTTAATGCTGGATGAAATGAAAGTGGTGGTACTTTATTTACTTTGAGCAAGTGAACGTCVTGYTCACAAGATAATTAATCCACCAGATAATTCAGAGGTGGTCTGTTGGGCGAGTTTTATTCCAGGAGCTGAGAGGCTTTGAGCCACGTTCTGAGCTCTGTTTACTGAACCAGCTGACGTCATTACACTCTTGTGCGATGCTGCGTTCATGACAAGCATGAAAAATCTCCCCCTCTTACGCCAATACGGTCGCCACGATGCATTTAGGTACCGAAACATGGTACCGTTTGATGTTACATGAATAGATACTCGGTAGAACCGACAGAATTTGGTCGGTACTTAAAGGGACAATATCAGGTAAAATCAACTTTTTTGAGTTTTATATCATGTTATAGTGTTATACTCTCATAAAAAACATGTCCAAAGCCTTGCTCTGACTCATTCATCATGTTTGAGAAATCCTGCAGTGTTTTTATGAAGCCATGCTGAGGAGCAAAACGACAGGTGGGTACCAGAAACACCTTTTGGGACCAGAAACACCCTTGGGACGTGTTTTTAAGCTGAACTTCTTCATGTCAGAGCACACCCATGACTCCTGCAGGCTCTCGGGTGAAACTGAAAGTGAAAACTAACTGTTTGCTGAGATCCACTACTTCTCACTCAGTGAAGCTCTTTTCAGATTAAAAATACCTTTGAGGAAATATGTTTTCAGATGCCAAGTAAACTGCATCATGGCAGCAACCCCCACCCCCCGAGCCCCCTGTGTGCGAC